TAATTTAAGGCCAAAAAATCAATTCCTTAAAATACAACCTGTGTTTTCTTTCCGTTTTTTTTCTTTCTTTCTTTTTTTTTTTTAGGCGAGGCAACCCTTGGTTGACCTCACAGATTGCAAGGAACTTGTCACCTTATAATTTCTTATTTTTACTTTTTTAATTTTTTTTTATTTTTTACCCCTACAGCACTTGGTCTTCCTAGGTGGTCTCTCATCCAAATACTAACCAGGCCCAACCCTGCTTAGCTTCCAATATCAGACAGGATCGAGCTTATTCAGGGTAGTATGACTGTAGATGCAACTTGTGTTTTCTTGCAAAAACTTATATGCCAGCAACATCTACACTTTTCAAAGTACCTGACAACAAAATAGGAAGCAACTTTCACAAAAATGGGATTAGGAAATTATGTGCCCAGTAAATAACCTCCTTGTAGCAGGTCTACAAACATGCTTTGCCTACATGAAAAAGGAAACCCACTACTAACAGCCAATAATAATAATAGTACTTAACTTTTATTCAGGGTTTATCATGTGCTAGAAACTGTGCTAAACACTTTACATGCATGATCTCATTTAAATCTAGGCAACAACTTTATGAGATGGATACAATGATTATCCCCATTTTAGAGATAAGGAAAGCAGGACTTACAGAGATTAAATAGCTTGCTCAAGTTCCCGTAGTTGGTAAGCAAGCAGCAGAGCTGGAAAGTGATTTGAACTCAGGTCAGCCTGACTCCAGACCACTCTGTGCTATTGCACCTGGTTACATACAACGATCTTGTGTGCACCTATGCATTAGAGCATAAAAGCTTCCCCATAACCCTACAAGGGTCTTGATTGTGCACAAGTGATATTTGTGCACAGTCTAGTGTGTGACTAAAAATTCAAAAGCTTTTTATTGTTGCATGCATGAATCTACAGATTCTAAAGCATATTTTTTTTCCATAGCCAATATCTACTGAGTGTTTACCTGAGCCAACCCAAGCAGATGTTTCAGTAAGTATTTCGCAGTGCTCTGGGAGGGGATAAGATCCCCATGGGGTCTGCTTTGCACACTCTTCCTTGCTCATCACTTCTCTTTCAGGCAGCCTTCCTCAGAGTCCAATTTAAAATAAGATACTAGAAGCAACCATATGGGGTTGAGTTTAGGAGGTTGGCCCCAAATGACAGGATTATATTATTAGGTCCTCTCTCTTTGTGAATTAAGATTTTGTCCTAAGAGAAGAGGGTCAGTGCTTCTTCTGCAGCACAGTGCCCAAATTGCCATCCCGTTTTGGTTAAGTATTGCAGTGGGCTGATTCAGCAAGGCCAACAGTTTCCAATCTGAGCAGACATCTGTTGCAGGTGATAAATGCATTGTAGTTAACCAAAGTCCACCAATGTCCCAAGAAACTAATTTATAGGTCCAGAACCTGCTGTGCTGCTCAATGAGTCAGAGAGTGAGTGATTTTATTTAGTTCTTACAGCAACCTATGGGTGAGTGTTATTATTCCCATTTTCCAAATGTATAAACTCAGGCTTGGAGGGAGATGAATAACTTGAATGAAGTTGCTCGGGGAGTAAGTGGTGGAAACTCGTATTCAAAGTCCTATGTACTTTTCAGTGGTTCTGCTGCATCCATTGAACCTATATTTGGAATGGAAAAATTATAGAAATGACAATTATGTGGGGGAACATTTGACGTTCTTTGTCCTTACCCCTGGGGCTATTTAAACAAGAAATATAAACATAAAGTTACTCATCACCTCCAGCCCCAACTCCTACTGGGAGCAGAATTACATTCTGAGATCACTGGTTGTTATTGAATAAAGAGAACCCTGCTGGAGTTAAGCATCAGCTCCAAGGCTGTTCAGACCTGGAGGAGCCAGGCCAGAACCCAGAGTGTCAGAACTATCCGGCCTTTTCCCTGCAGCAGGATCATTTCCAACCACAGCCAGGACGTCAGAGGCATTAGCAAGCCTGCAACATCAAAACGGCCAGATCAATTCACAGAAGCACTTCGAAGAGAAACAAATCAATAAGTTCCTTCTCCACAAGATTGATAACATCATCAGGAAGCAACAGATGCATTTTAGGGCACAGTATACCATGAAGGGAAAGTGAGCTCCCTGCACTACAGTCTGTCTCTGGAAAAGCAATCGCAAATCAGCGACTGAACATCAGTGCTTGTGGCACCTGTCACAACAATAAAAGCTAATGTTCCCTATGCACTTGGCGGGTTTTGAGGGCCCATCACATAGTCCGTCCCTTTTGATTACGATCCTACAAGGTAGATGTTACCGCCCACATTTCACAGATGAGGTTCAGCTAAACCAAACTGCCCCATATGCTCAAGACCACGGTTATGTATAACCAGGCTGGGACCTAAATCTTCAGTCTTGAAACCTATGTTCTGCCTACTCACCCAGTGTCACCCAAACTACATTCAGTCTCTTACCACCTGCACAATTTTTGACACATCAGAGACTCTCTTATGTAATTTATTATTTTTATTCTCATTGATCTAGTTTTCTATACTTAAATAAATTTATATTAAAAGGAAATTCCCTGCCTCCTAAACTGTTTTTTTTTAGTTTTAAATAAATTGAATTTTAAAAAGTCAGTGAACTCCAATAAAATGAAATAAATAAAATAATAACATACCGAATATAGCTTAATTGACCAAAATTTCCAGTGACATTCTAGTTAGGTCATATTGTCAGTCCTTAAAAAGCATAAGTGCTTTCATCTGCATGCTCAGTTATTTATTTATCTATTTATTTATTTGTTTGTTTGTTTGTTTATTATTTTATGTTCTTATTTTTTAAATTTTTATTTATTTATTTTTTCATATATTTATTGATTCCCTTCCCTCACATTCCCTGGACACACCCTTTAATCAGCATCCTCACTGAAATGGTCTGAGCTCAGTTCCTTGCATTGATTTACCTGGGGTATTATAATGGTCTCCTGGTTCAGTTCCTTTCTTCCTAATCTCCTTTAAATTCATCCTCCACAAGTTTCCAGCTTGATCTTTCTAAAGCACGAATCTACATTACCGTACACATTCCACTGAACATATTTAATGACTCCCTGTCGTTAGTACAAAATCTGAATTCCTAAATTGGCCCACAAGGCACTCAGTGAGGCAATAGCCACATAACTCTTCTTTTTCTAACCTTCTAAATTTTACTCCAAAAAGCATCTAATTTAATGGGCTGTTTTTTGTTTTAAATAACATTGAAACTTAACTCTTGCTAACATCCCTTCCTTTTCTCTAATGTTTTCTTGCCATCACCTTGAACTTCTCTAACAGAGTCTGTTGAGAGAAGACACTCAATACTTGTTGATGGATCTGTAAAGAAGAGGGGTATTTCACACCTCTGGGCCAGGTGTTTTATGAGAGCAATACTAAAAAAGAACAGACAAACCATTTGCCAATTCATGAATTAGGCATAGATTTCTACTTCCCAAAGGTAATTCTTTAAAAACAAAGTTTATTCATTGATTACTTCCTTTTAGTAAGTGGAAATGTTGACTGAAATTTGGTTCTTGGTGTGAAAAGCAAGATTTTAGAAATTCAAATATATATTTAGAAAAGCATACACTTTCATCTATTAGCTGACAATGACTGAAGCAGAAGACTTTTTTTAAAAGCAATTATCAATTGGAGGAGAAGTGTAAAATAATTCATGAGCTGGTTCATTTTTCTTTCTTCAAACATTAGTCTTGGTTGGTATGAAATAAGCCCACATATACCTTACATACATTCTACTTTATGTTGCTTTTGCCTTATGAACTCAGTAGACTCATCACAAATCCAAGAAAAACTGAGTATCAATTCTGGGCCAGGCATATTTTGAAAAATAGGATTTTTTGATGTGATGACTAGCCAATGTGATAGATCTTTACTTTAATCCAGAGGCAAATTGACACGTTTAGTGTAGATGGTTTTACAAATTATGCTTAGAAACTATGGTGATAGCATGGGAAATTATGTAAAACTGAGAAATATATATTAAGTGACTTGATTGGGGTCTTACTATAAATTCTGGTGCAAGTATGTGCGTGTGCGTGTGTGTGTGGCGAGTAGGAGTAGGAGAAGGTAAAGAGAGAGGACAAGAGAGGGAAATAAAAGCAGAAGAAATGTGGACTTCTGCCAGGCATCCAGCATACCCTAGTTCATTCAAACCTCATAGCACCTTGTGGTAAATATTATTATTTTAGAGATGTAGAGACGAGTTGTATAGATTGTAATCAGCTAACCAGGCTATAAAACCTGTTCTTTCCACTATTCCAAGCTAGTACCCAGGCCTCTGGCCTCAAATCCAGTATTCTTTCTATTCTGTCACATCTCTCTGACTCAGCTAAAAGATTTATTCCTTGGATGGGCAATTGAATTCTGTCTTTCCCACATTTTCAATTCTTAAAGTCTTATTTTCATTGTTTTGGACACATAGCTGGAGTCTCTTATTCATGAGCTGAGCTTTTTTTTTTCCCCTTTAGCAAAATAAACATTGCCCACAGGGGTAATATTTGCTGATGTTATGGGCCATGGAAACTGATTCGATTTTATGTTTTCTGTATCTAAAGCAAGATTTCAAGTGGAATATAGGGATGAGATTCAGTAACCGCTGTCTATTGCACTTCTGTCTTTATTTTGGAGTGGAGTCAGGAGCTGAAGAAGACCACTGGATATTAGACTTCTTGCAGGGGTGATATTCAAACTATCATCAACTAGAACTGACCAATTAAATGGAGTACCCATCAGAGAGGGTCTGATTTCTAGGGCCCCTCTTTATGCCAGACACTAATACTTTAGCTGCTGGATCATGCAAGAAGTCTGAGGGTCCCAGGAGAAGAGTTGGGATGGCCAGGGTCTCAGGCAGGCATTCAGAAGAACTTGGAGGAGTGATTCTTTACCACATGGTACAACTATATTTTAATATTTAATATTTAAACAACCAGTGCAGCCATATTGGTGCTTATTGCTCTGTTTCTGACTCTCTTCCTTACCTTAGAACTCCTAATCCACTTTCCCCAGCAGATGACTTCTCTATTCTGGGCTGGCGTTGCTTCCGAAGAGAGCGGGAGGGAAAGGAGGATTACAGGTAAACTTGAAGAGTTGTTTAGTCTTTCTTTGGCCTCCTAGCTCATCTGCAAGCCTTGGGGAATAATGCTTTATGGAAGTGACAACTGCCATTCACCAATATCCATTCTTCCCTTCCTATAATAACCCAACTCTGGAGTTATAGCTGGCACATGGCTGTGCAGTTAAACACTACTTTTCTCACCCTTCTTTGAACATCAAGGTGTTCATTTTTCTATTCTAGACAATGGAATTATACCACTTTCAAACTGTGCCTTTAGAAAAATGAATAAGTTTCCCATTGCCCTTTTATTCATTTCTATGGCTGGGATACATGCAAAAGATAAAGCAGACACTTTGAACCAGAAGGTTGCTTCATGTTGAAGATGGCAGATCTGCTCTGCTATCTTGGACTCCTTAGTTCTGGACCATTACAAAGGAGAGAAATGTTAAGCCCTTCTTGTTTAAGCCACATAATATTGGGGGATCTTTGTTATAGCAGCTTAGACTCTGCCCTAATAAACACTGCTTACTAGTGGTGTCATTAGTTGGTTGGGTTTTCATAATGAACTACTTTTGAAAACAAAAAAGCCACAGGATATACAAACGCTGTAAGGTAAAAACAAACCCCTCCAAAAAAAACGCCCCCACAAAACACAAAAACTCAAAGTACCTTAAAATAACTGAAAGAGAGTCTATGAGGAAAAAAAGATGGGATGTATGGGGGAGTTGTCAAGAGAAGAAGTTGCAGAGATCAGTTTTAGAAGCCACATTAGTGACTTTATTTTGAGTCTAGAAAGACTCATTGAAACGTTTTGAGTAAGAAAGTAACACTATCCAATTTCTATATTAGAAAGATTGTCCTAGAATGTGGAGAATGAATTGGGGGTGGGTGCAAAATTAGAGACTAGAACACCAGGTACAAGCTGTAGTAGTAAATCGGGTGAAAAATAATGGTGGCTTAAACTGAATAAGAAAAAAGTAGACAAAAGGAGAGATGTTAGGAGTGGAATCCTTGAGATTAAAGTCAAATGAGGAGAGTAAGTTGGTGAGGGAGAGGAGTTTAGGATGATACGCAGGTTTCTGGTTTGTGTTGTAGTTTGTGGTGTTCAGAAGCAAGCATCTTGGCAAAGAACAGAAAGTTGATGAAGCTAGCCTGCACTGGTCTCCCACTGTTCCCATAGAAACTCCTTTCTGTTCATCTAATACTCTTTCTCCTTAACTCACTTCTCCCCCAAGGTCTTAGATGTGAATCTTATCTATTTCTGATCCTCTCCAGACATGCTTTTCACCAGTGATTTTCCAAACTTTTCACTGATGATTCTTTTGAGGCAATCCCACATGTATCATACATTTTAAAACATTTTTTTTCCTAGAAAAAAGAATATATCAATTCTTTTGTCTGTCACTTTAAACCCATTTCTAAGGCCAATTGTAGAGCAAATATCACTGCTCATGTCAGAAACCACAACTACCAGATGAGGTACCTGGGTTGCTCACCCACTTCAGAGATTCTTTGGAATTGCTTAAAAGTCAATCAGAGTTTTGATCCACAATATTATTACAACAGTTGATATCATTCAAGAAAAAAATGAAGAAAAGTGACATTTTAGACAGTCTGTGCTACTGGAAATCAGATGTGTGGGGGGATTCTGCTAAGTTTTTAAAAATACTGAGCCTTGGAGTATTCATTGCTAACCATCTTACTCCTAGGGCTCTAGATTGCCATTGATTCCACGCTTTTATTCCTCCACAGTGAGGAATAACAATTTTAGGTCTCTTTTATGTCTGTTAATAGTTCCCCTTCCCTTTGAGAGAATTCTTATTCCACTTTGTGGAACTCTGCTGGGGGTTTTAGCCATGATGTGCTTCTTCTCTGGCCACAGAGATGGACACATGTCCCAGACTAAACCAATTATAATGCCCCTTCCTCCTGATAACAGTGATTGGTTCAAGAGGTGGGTATGGAACACTTTGGGCCACTCATAGTCTTCCCTGAAATTGATATAGATGCTAGATGAAAGAAGCTCTCTTTTGCTGTTGTGGTTGTGAAGCAAGTTCTTTACCCGCAACCTCTTCTCTCTCTCTAGATCCCTTCTGTGGTAGTTAGGAGCAGGAGGTGGAGCTAATGAATGTCAGGAATTTATTTTAATGAGTTATCTTTCAGGCCCTGGACCTCCCACACTGGTCCTCCTGCTCTTGGTCCTCTCTCCACTGCACTGCAGTAAGACGTGGGTAGGTCGTTTAGTAGAGAATTCACCAGTAAATAACAATTGCCACCAATATTGCCACACTTCAGGGAAGGACAGTTTGCAACTAATTACTTCCCATGAAAACACCCAAACATAATTTTGTTCATTATTAAAATTTTCCAATAATAGATTTATCTTCCCCATTAAATAATACATTATTCTCCTACAAAACACACAGCAAACTAGAATTACTAGGCACTGCTTATATTAAATTGTTGTTTAATAAATTAAAACTCCTATGTTTATAAATAAACTAGGTCATCTGCACATTTTGTAAATTAGTAGTTTCTTGTAGTTATTCTCTCCTGGTCAAAGCCTAAAAGAGGGGGAGAGGAAAAATGATTATCATTATTATTTTATTGTTTTCAAGTAAACTACTGTTCTCTGCACTGTAGTTTAAAATAAACCACTCAGTCTAATACAGTAGAATCAATATTGTTGAGTATCAATCAATAAAAATAGATTTTAAAGACTATGGTTTGCAAACTTTTAAAGTTACACTAGAGGCTATATCTACTGGATATATAAGACCTAATGAATAACCAACACCCATATTTGAAGATTCTTGATGAAATAAGCATTGGTCAAATTGTTTTTCCCTGTTACAACTTCTGGGTGGGTTGAGAGTCTTTTGATTTTAAGATAAGTCAACTGTTCTTCCGTCATCTTTTCAATTTGAGGTGATTAATATTTTCCATAGTCATTTCCAAAAAGGTTGATGCTATTAAAGAATTAGTTACAAAGACTTCTCGAGTTACAAAATCCTTACTTACAGAATCATATAACACAAATAAATTGCTGCACTTTAAAAAAAAAATTTTCTTACCCACTTAAAGGTCACTAGGGACAGCAACCAAGCCACACTAAGACAGTTGCCCCACCTGGCAAAACTATGGAATTGTTTGAACCCATGTATCACCCAACTAACTACCTTTCTTCTCTTGAAGAATGAACATACTGCGTCTACTTTGCTCCCTCACTCTTGTTTTCAACAGCTATAGCTCAATCATTTGTATTGAGCTAATTCCCCTCCCCCATATCTACACACAGCTATTCTTTAAGCATCTCCTTTTCTTTCCTATGCGATTTCTCTCTCTTCCATATAACTTCTTCCACCTGCTGTCTCCTTTTATCACAACGTGGCAAAAATCAAAAACCAAAACACAAAAACTTCATCTTGTCTGATATATGTAAGAATAGCGGTGGTAGTAATAAAGAAAATAAAAGCTGAACACTGGACTGTAGATAACATAACAAGGAACCAGTATTGCCAAGTGCTTCAGTTCACTCAGAAGTTTCCTTCAGAATCTCTACAAAACCCCTATGCTATATGCTTCTAATAAAGCCATTTAAGGTTATACTTATTTCACATTAAATATTTTTTCTGTTGAATCATTAATTTAAAAATGAATAATTTCTTCTTTTTTGGTCCCAAATATATGATAGTTCAACTACATTAAATAAATTAACATTATTTCTATGTGTGCTATAAGTTACAAAGAACTAACTTTTTAGTCACAACAATCTGGAAGTAAGACATCTTGTATTAAAAAAATTAGTGTGTCTTCCTCAAAAAATTAAAAACAGAACTACCTTTTGACCCAGCAATTGCACTTCTGGGTATTTATCCAAAGAAAACCAAAACACCAATTTGTAAAGATCTATGCACCCCTATGTTCCTGGCAGTGCTATTCACAATAATCAAGGTATAGAAGTAACCTAAGTGTCCATCATAGATGACTGGATAAAGAAGTCATGGTACATATATACAATGAAATGTTACTCAGTCACAAAAATTGAAATTTTAGCATTTGCAATGACATGGATGGACCTAGAGGTTATTATGTTGAGTGAAATAAGTCAGATAGAGAAAGATAAATACCACATTTCACTTACATGTGGAATCTTAATGAACAAAAGGAACAAACAAAACAAAAACATACTTGCATATACAAAGGACAATCTGGTGATTGCCAGAGGGGAAGGAGATTGGGGAACTAGATAAAAACAGTAAGGGATGAATTACAAATTGGTAGTTACAAAATGGTCTTGGGGACATAGATTACAGCATAGGGAATACAGTCGAAAGTATTTTAAGGGCTATGTGTAGAGCCCAATGGGTGCTAAGGTAATTGGGGGATCTCTTCATAAATTATATAAATGTCTAACCAATGTACTTGAAATTAATATAAAATAAAATGTCTAACCAATGTATACTTGAAACTAATATAAAATAAAAAAAAATTTAATTAGTATGTCTTATTTATTATTTAGAGAAATAATTGACATATAACATGGTGTAAGTTTAAGGTGTAGTACATGTTGATTTGATACATTTATATATTGCAATATGATTACCGCTAAAGCATTAGCTAACACCTCTATCACATTACGAAATTATCATCGTTTTTTTTGTAGTGGGGACAATTAAGATCTAGTCTCTTAGCACCTTCAAACTTTATAATACAGTGTTATTTTAAAAGTTCTTTATTAAAATAAGGACATAGTCAACTACTAGTATAAAATAGGTATTAAACGCACATTTTCATGTGTATGGTGGTTCATCCTTCTGAATCATCTGGACACTTTTTGCAAACCCACATACTTTTACTTCTGTTAAAGAAAAACCAAAGAGGAGGCCACAAGTTGAGTAGAACCCTAAGCCACCACCTACAGCTGCATAATCAAAACTTAAACTGTCCTAATTTCCCCCAAATTCTGACTCTGATCTTGAAAAAAACTTAAACTTTCTTAATGTCAGTGTGATCTT